TTTTTTTTTTTTTTTCAATATCTCTGCTTCTTTATTGAAGTGACCTTTCCCTTTCTGTATTTATCTCTGATTTTATTTCTTAAATATTCCTTTACTTTGCAGACCAGTTAACTGTGTACATTCTAAACTCCTTCTCTGGCATTTCTTCCACTTGGGTGTCCATGGATTCTGTTATTGGAATACCTTGGTTTGTTTGGGGACATTTGTTCCCTTGGTTTTTCATGTTGTTTGTGTTTCTACCATCTAACAGTATGGATCTGAGGCAATAGAGTTTCTACTCTGTGGACTTATAGTGTTCCTGAAAGTTTCTAGTACCTCACTGTTTAGGGGGAGACATATAATAACAATAAGCAATGCAAAGAATATATAGCATTAAACCAAATAGTTCCTACTATTATGTCTACAATGTTAATTATCACAATAAACAGAAATGATCTGATGAAAATTTTCTTGATGAAAAGTTAAAAACTTCTTTCCATTTTAGGGTTCAAAAGATTCTCAATTTCTCTTCTCAGCAGTTTTAGGTGAGATCATCTGGGGCATGATGCTCCACCCTCTGTATTTCTGGAGTGAGAGAAGTAATCCTGTAGGCAGAATTCCTGGAGGTGAGGTTCAGGCTAAAGTGGGCTCCATGCTCTTTTCTGAATGCCAATTTATTTGGAGATTTTAAATCAGTGCACCTTCAGCACCCAGTACTTGCTGGTTCACGCTGAAAGACTGGACCGAAGGGATTTCCAGTGTGGTGGGTACCAATTCTTAGTCTACTATGTCACCTTTGCACCCCAAGTTTCCTGGTCTCAGGTTCAGTCCTCCAAACAATCTCTCCCACCTGTACCCTTCTAAGTTCCTGGCCAGATGCAACTCTCCCAGCTGGTCCCACAAGCAGTTGGATTAGTTGAGAGGAGGTAGAGCCAGGTGGGTTTCCACAACCAGATGTCCCCTGTGTAAACCTCTTTCCACATCTGATTTTCACCTGGTCACTTAAGCACACTCTATGTCAAGCAATGTGTGTGTACTGGGCCTATATTTCAGGCCAAACTTGGGTTTCCCAGGAAATGCCCTCTCAGCTGCCAGTCCCTGGGCAGTGGCTGCAAAATTATTCCTTCCTGTGTCCTGAGAATGCCACCTGGATAGATGGCAGCTTCTTTCCCTGCACAAGGATATTGTGAAGCATGTCTTTCAGGTTTGTTGGGCAATGTCCTTGATCTCTAAACACTCCGTATCCAGGCATGCTGGATAGAGGAACCTGTGTTTTTCCCTAAAAACACAGGTTCCTTTAATTCCCTTACCTCTTCATTATGCTCATGGAGGGAACTCTCTGGCTGGTGCTTCCAGTCTCTCTGGGCCACTGAGGATTTCTTATTTTATTATATGCAACCTCCTGTGTCCCTGATCTGCATTCAGTGTTAAGCTTTAAATTCCAGTAAAGTCTCCAACATCTTTTTGTTCACAGATTTTGCTGAGAAGCGACCTGTCTGCTTTTTTGATTTCATTCCATGGAGAAACCAGGAAAGCAGTCCCCTCTATTCTTTCATCTTGAGAACATCCTGCTAAAATTATTTAATGTTTCACCCCAAATATTTCCCATTCCTAGTAATCATAAATGCACAAATCCAAGTAGGCAGAGCCCTTTGGTTTTCTGGAATTGGCTCACTTCCATTTCCATGTCTTGTCTTAAACCCTTCCTGGAACTCCCTGATGCTTCTGTCTGTCTACAGAAATGTTCCTTAATATTCAGGGGTATCATTTCTCACCTTCATCAGTCTTCCTTTACTGTTCTAGCTCACATTTTCTTCC